ACTAAATGTCACAGCTCCTAACAAGTTCCAGCCTGCCCTAGGTCCATCCGTGCCAAACGTATTTCATCGATCTACGGCAGAAATACGCGCCATCAACTGTTTCGATTGCAACAAACTATACCAATCAAAACCCAACCAAACAGCAAACGTTTGGAGTGTTTCAAACCCAGTCAAGTACTGTAGGTCTGTGTAGGTATTGGATACGCTCGTACAGCGTACACCAATTGGGCCGCCACAATGTCTGCTGCTCGAATTTCCCTCCTAAAGCATGCTGGTCTCTGCCGTCATGGACGAGGAAATTTACGCACACCATCACCATCACATGCCATGATGCCACATCCATACCATGGCCCAAATAAAAGAATTACCGCTTCCTACCTCGTAAACACTGTCTGAACCGTACTGACTGATCCGCGAACAACCGACCTCTCTGATGAACGGCTGACAGCAGAAGTTACCTGTTTGCTCGCTAAAGCATGACCCCAGCTTCTCCTTCTGGCAGATGTTGGTTTTACACCTCCTCCATCGCTCCTCTCTCTCTACCCGCTACTTGTGTCAGACCCAACCCACATGGATTTTCACTTCCCTCCCATCTCTTCTGCCAGCCGCATTCCAGCCATTATAGCGGCTCAATTTAGCAGCACGCTTCGGGAAACGGATCGCGGCGGCTGGATGAGCGGAAGCATTATAGTACACGTCAGTACACGTCACTAGATTCTCGAATCTTGTGTTTCAAACCGCGTTTTTTTCTGGGCCGTTGAAACAGCGTACGTGTCCCAAACTGAGGACATCAATTTTTGTTGAACATTAGGCGGTCCAATTAGACGCTGGGTACATTTGGCGGTCCAATCAGAGCTAGGTCCATCTTGTCGGCGTTTTTTTCTGAACCATCCACCATTCTCCACGGTGGCACGTTTTGGGACCACCATAGAAGCGAGCGCGGCGGATTTCCAACGGTTCACCATTTTTCACCGAGTAGCTCATCCCAACGGTCCGTAGTCACGCATCCTCAGGCTCACGTCACATTCCGGCTCTTCTTCTAGGAATTCCAATTTATTTCTGCAGCCTGGCATTTTGCTAGTGAGCTTGGCTTCCGATCGCTCTATCAGTTCGAATCTTCACCATCTTCTCACGTCGACACCGTTCAGCCAGGCCTGGATCGTATGGTCGGCTCGCGGAGCTTCAGAACCTCGACCGTCCGAGTTTCTGCATCGTAGAGAGTCAACTTCGCTTGTCGTCGTTTTTTACGTCAGGTACAACGAGCATTCTTATCACGCTCTCGGACCAGCGTCTTGATTCCGTTGATGTATTCGACCTTCATTTTCTTTCGACTCCGATTCTGACAATGGTTCTCGTTATATTATGCGCAGGACGCCATGGTAAGCATCGGATCGTCGTGGATCCGCATCTCTTCGTCAACCTCTTCGCGACGCCATCTACGACGTGGCTGAAGCGGCATTGATCTCCCCGACTTGTGACGGTGAAGGTCGAATGTATCACCCTCCACCATCACTCACCACAGAGCCTCCTCCCCCGGTTAAGGTTTGGTAAAGGTTTGGTACAGGTGTGGTAAAGGTTTTTTTTTTTTTTTTTTCGGTACAGGTTTGGTATTGGCTCTGTGGTGGGTCAGCACTTTTTTCTTCACTTCGCAAAGTCGTTATTTCCGTTGCATGCTTTCTTCACTTCCGTATACTAACTATATGTTTTTTCTACACTCGCAGGTTTTAATGGAGGTTGCGAGGCGTTTCGAAGATTAAAGAGGATCAACATCCTTTGGCGTCGTTTCATGCTTATGGCGGACATCGACCTCTTCGCGACGCTGGCTACGACGCGCCTGAAGCGACATCGATCTCCGCGACTTGTGACGGTGAAGGTCGAATGTATCACCCTCCACCATAACTCACCACAGAGCCTCCTCCCCCCGGTTAAGGTTTGGTAAAGGTTTGGTACAGGTGTGGTAAAGGTTTTTTTTTTCGGTACAGGTTTGGTATTGGCTCTGTGGTGGGTCAGAACTTTTTTCTTCACTTCGCAAAGTCGTTATTTCCGTTGCATGCTTTCTTCACTTCCGTATACTAACTGAATGTTCTTTCTACTCTCGCAGGTTTTAATGGAGGATGCGAGTCGTACTATCGAAGATTGGAGAGGAGCAACATCCTTGCCGTCCTTCTATGCTTCATGGCGGGCAACGGAGGAGAAGCTCCACGGGTATTGAAGGTGAAGGTTGAAAGTATCTCTTCAACCCTTCACACTCCAGAGCCACCCCCCGGTACAGGTTAGGTACAGGTTCAGGTCCGGTAAAGGTCCCCATAAAGGTTTTTTGGTTGGTATTTGGCTCTTTTCCACGCTTCTTTTCGTTCTGCATGCTTTCTTTTGCCCGACCTTTACTAATTCTTGTTTATTTCTTTACTCGCAGGTTCTATTTTAGGGTCCACTACGTTCTTCAAAAGGTGGCCTTCCATCCTTCATGGCGGGAAGCCGAAGAGGACTTCACGGCTGGTGAAGGTTAAGGTTGAAGTATCAACCACACCCACCCTCCACGCTCCCCCTTTGGTTTAGGTTGAGGTTATGGTAAAGGTCGAGGTTGGTAAAGGTGGTAAAGGTCCCGGTAAGGTATTTTGGTTGGTATTGGCTCTGCAGGCAGCACACACTTGCACCACACTTGCAGCACCGTTCATTTCTGCATTTTTTTTTTTTAACTTCTGATTACTAACTTAGTTCCCTCGATCTCTTGCAGGTTATATTTTTTAAGGCGGGGTGAACGTACCTGCCAACAGCACCTGGCAGGTGCCTCCTCTTTGTCCACCAGCAGTAAGTCTCACTCCTCATTTCAGTCACTTGCTGCATGTTGGTACGTTTTCTTACATTAACTAACTTTTTTTTTTTTTTACTTCACTTGGCAGGTTGCTTCACCAAGGAATTTTCAGCTTGCTGAAGATTCAAGATCCATCGAAGCACCAAGGCCTTGTTTTCTGAGGCTCCTCAAGGCTCAACTGTGGCAAGATAAGTACCAACTCCAGCCTTTTCCTTTGATTTCTCGCTCCAATGCTCGTCCACTGCTTACTCCAAGCTTCCTGATTCCTTGTTTTTTTTTTCAAGTTGTGCTTCAACTCGTCATTGACTGACTTGTTTTATTTCGCCTCATGACAGGTTCTTCAAGCACCATGTGCACGCCATGGACCCCCAAGGCCTTGCACCGCGCCACAGTCCAGCAAGCCCAAGATCCATGGCAGCAGCTGAGGCGCCTCAAGGCTCAACCTCCGCTCCCCAGTCCAGACTCTTCAACCTCAGATAAGTTTCAGCCTTTACCATCAACATCCTTTTTTAATGCACATGGCTTTATTTTGCAGTAACTATCTTCTGAATCTTTTATTTGCTGATTTGCTTCAATCCATGCTGCATTTTTTCCTTTTGGATCCTGTACTAATATGTGTCTTTCTCCTCTTCTGTCTGCAGGTGCCTTCATGGTGTCTGTGGATGTGGCGACGTGGCCAGTGCACGAGATGGGGGTGAAGCCTTGAGCATTGGCTGGGGACTCGACTCCGGGCCGAACCGGACTGGTTCTGTCCCCTCCCGCCCCCACCAAGTGACAAAGCTGTCTGGCCAGCAGTGATGTCATTTGGTGGAGGTGGGGGTGAGCAGAGCCAGTCCCTAGTAGGGCACCCGCACGTCTTGGTCCTGGCAATGCTCAAGGCCCACCATCCCTCTCTGCCTGTGCGGTGCACTGCCAGTCCATGCCGGGGTGGGCATGGATGGCATGGCATCCTGTCACTGAAGCCCGTCCACTTTCACTGGCTAGCTTGACTTCCTGTCTGGAAGTAGTCCTCAGAGGACGTGTAAACATAGGAGTAGACACAATTAAGTACAGTGGTTGAGTGTACCCGAGATATAATGAGATTGTAATGGGTATCTAGGTTCAGTAGTAATGCTTATGTAAGATCAGAATGTCTGCAATTTGGTAATACGTTATCAGTACTAACTGATATAGTTTCATATTGTTTGTTTCTAGACTCAAATATTAAGCCGAGGTCGGTTCGATGCGGCAAGGAAGAGTGATGTTCGGTTCGGTTGGAAGAAAGAGCACCCCTCTTCATCGGCGAGACGAGAATTCAGTTGAGCATATCTCGTCATTCCATTCCCAAGACGAGAACGTGAAAGCAGACTCCACCTGGGCTCGCGTCGCGTAGATACAGTCGAAGCCGTAGAGGCGGAAATGTCGGTGCTGCTGTCCCATCGCACCGCAGAGCGCAGCGATGCCATGGCGATTTCGGATCGGGTGGCACAGCCAGCCATTGCCTGCTGCTCCGCGGGATCTGCATCTGCGCGTTCCAGACGAGAGGATCCGCCCGGGCGAGCGCGATCGGTACAATCGGAGCTGTTCATCCATTCCTCGCATTTCGGAACGCGTCGAACCTTGAATAGTGCAGCGTTACAAACGAAGGTCGCGCGATAGCGGAGTGAGAGGGGGATGGGAAGCGCCGTCGTGTGTATAACTTTCCTTGGTGTTCACGGTCCGCACTTACGCGAGTTACGCATTTTCTGCACTGTAATGCGGGATAGCGGGGTGAATCATCGAGTGTAGGCGTTCTCATTGTCTGAGCGTCGCTTAATCTCTCATTCTCTGCACGAGCAGCAGAGAGCAGCCGCGTCCAGCGCCGTTTTCTCCGCGCCATTTACTCCTCACCGATTTTTTTCGCGCGCCTCGCCGTCGCCTGCTCCGAGGACGCCTGCGATGGACGACGAGGCGTGCGACGACGCGGGAACGTCGCTTCTGTCGCACGAGAGCGAGCCGGAGTGGGCGCAAGTGGCGGGGATGGCGAGCGACCTCGTCGTCACCGTCGGCCAGCGCGCCTTCCATGCTGTACGCGTTAATAGCCTTGCTTCGTTCCCAGTACGCGTTACTAGCGTTACGCCATTCTGTACGCTTCACGGTTCAGATGCTCCCAGCTCCTTCTCCTTTCTCCTCCTCTCCCCCCACCCTTCCATCTCGTTAGCTTCTCTCTATGGACAGTGATTGCGAACACAGCAGCAGCATCGCACACAGCAGCGCATCGCACACAGCAGCGCATCGCACACAGCAGCGCATCGCACACAGCACCGGCCCTCCTTCCTCCTCCCTCCCCCTCGCCCTCCGTCCCCTACCTCCCAGCTTCTACCTGTCAACGGTGATAGCGAACGCGGCAGCAGCAGCGGACGACGGGAGGCCACCAGGCCCTTGCAAGCGGACCTCTCGTTCCTCCCTGGCGGCGCGCTCTCCTTGGTCCCCATCGCCTGCCACTGCCACGCCCGCCCCTGCCGCCTCTCGCCGCACTCCCTGCTGCTCGTGCGCTCCGCAGGTACTCATGCCCACTGCAGGCGAGAGTGGAAGGGTTGGGGAGCGGTTGAGTCTGGTGATAGCCTTGCTCTTATGATTGTGTGCGCACTGAACAATGTTACTCTGCATTGCATGCTCTTCTGCCCCGTCCCTCTCTTCTCACCCCCTTATTCTTACCCCTCCTCTCCTCGCCCCCCTCCTTCTCACTCCCGCCCACCCCTTCCCCCTTCCCCTCTCCCCCTGGCAGCATCACTGCTAGGGATGAGCGCGTGTGGGCCGCACCCTTCCCCTCCCCCCTTCCCCTCTTCCCAGCCCAGCCGTGCGTTGCTGCTGCCGGCACCTTTTCCTTCAGCACTGCCCGCTCTGCCCTCACGCCCTCATCTCATGGTATGTTAGAATCGCGGGGGTGACGGGAAGGGAGGAGTAGGGAGGGGTGGGGAGTAAGAGGGGAGGCGAGGGGAGGGGAGGGGAAGGGAGGGCATGGGATGGGATGAGATATGGAATGTTTGATTCAGTATGATGCCCTAATTGATGCCCTAATCATTGCATGCTTTTACCCCGTCCCTCTCTTCTCAACCCACTTTTTCTTACCCCTCCTCTCCTCGCCCCCCTCCTTCTCACTCTTGCATACTCTCGCCCCTTCCCCTCTCCCCCTGGCAGCATTACTGCTAGACATCAGATGAGCGCGTGTGGGCCCAGCGCAGCCATGCGCTGCTGCTGCCGCGTGTGGCACCTTTTCCTGCAGCACTGTCCGCGCTGCCTGCACGTGCTCTCATCGTAAGTTCGAATCGCGGGTGAAAGGTGCAGGAAGGAGAAGCGAGGGTTGGGGGGTAAGAGGGGAGTCGAGGGGAGGGGAGGGGAAGGGAGGGCATGGGGATGGGATGAGATATGGAATGTTAATTCAGTATGATGCCCTAATTGTTGCTCGTCTGTCCCTTGCACATGCGTCCTCCTTCTCATCTCCTCATCTCCTTTCTCACGTGGGTCATTGACTCCCCTCCCACCGTCTCTTGCATGCATTCCCGCACATTGCTTCCTCTCCTTCTCTCTCGCCCCCCCCCACCCACTCAAATCTAATCTAGTCATCTCTCGTCCGACTCCCCCCTACTCCCCCTCTTCCTCTCTCCATCAGCCTACCGTTCTGTTTCATTTCGCATTCACGTTCAGTCCATGTGTCTCTTTCCCCACCCTCCTCCTCTCCCCCCACCCTCCTCCTCTCCCCCCACCCTCCTCTCCCCGCACCCCCTCAACACATTGCAGGCACGACCTACAGTATCTCCCTCCTCTCCTGCTCATTATTCCTATTTCCCAAACACACCTCCGCTTTCTTCCTCCCCATGTCTCTGTCCCTGACTCGCCCACCCGCCCTCCCGCCCTCCTGCCCTCCTCTCATCACCACAGGCAAGCCCTGCAGCATCTCGCTCGTCTCCTCCTCGACCCCGCCACCCTGCCTCTCTCCACCCACCTGCTCTTCCACCTGCTTTCACACGCCTGCCTCTGCGCCGTGCCGCGCTCTGCCCTCCTCTTCCTCTTCCAAGTTGCCGCACACTGCCTCGCTCGGGATGTTGGGGTTGAGGAGCATGCTGCCCCTCCCCATCCCCTATGTCCATGTGACTGTCACTGCCACCCTGCCAGCCTGCCAGCCCACCACTGCCGCCAATCCGCTGAGAGGTTCGTGCAGCACATCATTCAAAACTTCTGATGATGTCGGATGTTACGGTATAAGAACTTTGACCCAACAGATATGTGGGACTGGCACAACCAATGTGGTTTGGTTGTGGAAAATCCTGGCCAAGATTTGCTGGTCACTGGTCAGTTCATCTAACGGGTGAAGCAAATGTTACAGAATTACGAACTACTCGTTTCAGATTGTTTCAGATGTTCTTCTTGTGAATAAGAATTTGGCATAAATAAGAATACTTGTGAACCTGTACGTTCATGTTGACAATGTAATGAGGGTATGGTGTGGTTTCGCAATGGAATTTGATGAACACGACACGCTGATTTGGTTCCTGAATAAATCATGGGACCTTATTCATGGGATCCTAACAAGCAAAAGTTTTACACAGCATGCATATCTAAAAAAGACGGAGCAGAAAAGAAGTGACTACACCATGGTTTGGGATGTACAGAGCAGATCGGAGACAGGATGAAACGGCTGGTCCAGATTACATGGAAATCTCTAGACACATCCAGCATGGTGCGCACTCTTCACATCAAGGCAGAGCAGAGCAGCGTGGGGATGGACAGGACCTTGTCAACATGCCCTCCTCTTCCCCTTCCTCCATCCCAGAAAGCGGGCGAGTGCTGCAGTAATGATGTGAGAATGCAGCCATGCAATGGGGCTGACTGACTGGTCAGGGTGGCGAGACCTCACATGCCCGCACTCGCCACTTGCTGTGCTGACACCTCTGGGGACATCAGGAAACATGGGGGAAAGAGGAACAGAGAAGAATGGCTTTGTGAGACGATGCATTATGAACTAGGCGGCAAACGGATGGAGGTTGCAGTAAATGGTCAAGGTGTATTCAACTAATGGGCGTGTCAGAAATGGATCATGCATGCCATCCCCCCCCCCCCCCCCCCCCCCCCCCCCCCCCCTCCCCTCTTGGATATGCTGCAGAGATACGGTAGCAGCACATGCATGTCAAATTGCAGATGCGGATGGCAGTAAGTTGCGAGCAAGCAAAGGCAGCAGAGACAAAGGAGGTGTGTGCATTCATGCAATCAAGCTTTGTGACTATTCAGTATCCAACAAAGTGTGACCAAAAACACACTCATGTGCTTCCCCTCTCGTTCTTACACCAGAATCTCTTTCCTTTCCCCTCCCAACACGCACTCTAAACGCGTTCCTCTTTCAACTCGAAATACATCTCTGAACCCTTGCTGCAAAATCCCACCCTCTACACACCCTCCCATCCCTGCCATAACCCCCTGGCCGCACACTCTCCCATCCCTCTTCCCGCCACCCACTCACCAGCACCACCAGCGGCAACAGCAGCAGCAGCAGCAGCAGAGGCGGCGCGCGCCTCAATGCGGCGCTCGATCTCAGGGCGGAAGTGGCGCAGCAGCCCCTGCACGGGCCACGCGGCGGCGTCCCCGAGCGCGCAAATCGTATGCCCCTCGATCTGCTTCGTAATCTCCTGAAGCATGTCCACCTCCTCCATGAGCGCATCGCCCACCTTCATGCGCTCCAGCAGCTGCCACAGCCACGGCGTGCCCTCCCTGCATGGCGTGCACTGCCCGCAGCTCTCGTGCTTGTAGAAATACGACAGCCGCGCGATCGCGTCCACCACGTCAGTGCTCTTATCAATCACGATCACCGCGGCTGTGCCCAGCCCGGATTGCACGGCTTTCAGCGCGTCGAAGTCCATTAGCACGTCGTCGCAGATGGGTTTAGGGAGCATGGGCACGGACGAGCCGCCCGGGATGATCGCGAGGAGGTTGTCCCAGCCGCCGCGCACGCCGCCGGCGTGGCGCTCGATGAGCTCTTTGAGCGGGATGCTCATCTCCTCCTCCACCGTGCACGGCTTGTTCACGTGCCCCGAGATGCAGAACAGCTTCGTGCCGCTGTTGTTCTTGCGCCCGAACGACGCGAACCACTCCGGCCCGCGTCGCAGGATCGTCGGCGACACGGCGACGGTCTCCACGTTCGTCACCGTCGTCGGACACCCGTACAGCCCCGCGTTCGCCGGGAACGGCGGCTTCAGTCGCGGCTTGCCCTGCTTGCCTTCGAGCGACTCCAGCAGCGCGGTTTCCTCTCCGCAGATGTACGCGCCCGCGCCGTGGTGCACATACAGGTCAAAATCGTACCCGCTGCCGCACGCGTTGCGCCCGAGGAACCCCTTCTCGTACGCCTCCGCGACGGCGCGCTCGACGGCCTTGCGCTCGTTGACGTATTCTCCGCGGATGTAGATGTACCCGTAGCGCGCGCGCATGCCCACGCCCGCGATGAGGCACCCCTCGATGAGCTTGTGCGGGTCGTGGCGCATGATTTCGCGGTCCTTGCACGTGCCCGGCTCGCTCTCGTCTGCGTTAACCACCAGGTACGACGGGCGGCCGTCGGGGTTCGCCTTGGGCATGAACGACCATTTCAGGCCCGACGGGAAACCCGCGCCGCCGCGCCCGCGCAGCCCGGATTTCTTCATTTCGTTGATGATCCAGTCGGTGCCTTTGACCACGAGGTCTTTCGTGCGGTGCCAGTCGCCGCGCTTCATCGCGCCCTTGATAAACGGATCGTGCAGCCCGTACAGATTCGTGAAGATCCGATCCGCATCCGATAGTCCGCCGAAAACGGTCTTCTCTGGCGGGGGAGGGGGGGGAGGCGGGGCGGAAGCGGGTGACGCGGGGCCGGATGCGGGGGGAGCGGTGGTGGAGAGGAGGCGGGAGGTGGTTGCGGAGGCGGCAGCGGCATGGCGGGAGGGGCCTCGGGAAGAGGAGGACGCGAGGCCCCTTAGCGCCGCGCGCGTGGCGTTCTGCATGGCGGCAGGCGGCGCGGCGGATCTGCGAAGGAGGTGGCGACGGAACGGAGCGGAAAATGGTGGACCGTTTTAGGGAACTAGCGGCAAGGCTAGATCATCACAGGAGCCTAGCTAGGGAGAAGGCCTAGCGAAAAGTAGAAAACCAGAAGCAAGGAAATAGGTTTTCGTGTGGCGAGGTGAGGCGAGGTGTGGTTTGGTTGGGTTCGCGCGTGGTTGGGATCATAAACTGGAGGTTCAGGAGGCAGGAGGGGAGGGAAGAGACGAGGAAGAGTGGTGAAGCGGCGAGAGAAGTGAGCGCAGGTGGATGTGGAAGAGAGCGAGTATCGAGGGAAGGGATCTATGCCGCATAATGCAAATGTACAGTGCGATATAAGTAAGAAGATAAGACGTTTTATTGCACTAGCCATTCCGCGAAGCATAAAACCACACACCACTAGCACACTTCGCCCTTCGGGCAAAAACTGGAACTTTGCAAAGCTTATCACAACCTTATTCTATTGCCATCCGCAAGGCAATCATCCTTGTCCAACTGGAACCATTCAAGCGTCTACCAAAAAATTCCATTCCTTCCCACTGTAGCGCGGAGTATTCCTGTTTGAGTCAGGCAAGTGTATCTCCCTTGCTGCTTCGCAGCAAAAGAGTATGTGTTAACTGGGCATAGTCCCGGGTGTCAGCGGAGGTGTGTCAATCGTCATTTGTTAATAGAAGCGCCGAGCCGATGCACTGTTAATGGGCCCTTGTAGTTGGCACGTGTGGGGTGCAGCAGATGCGCGAGCAGCTCTAGTCCGTCCACTAGAGAAGCACCGGGGCACGTGAAGAGGGTGTGGTGGCATGCAAACAGCATGCCTCTTCTGGAGGCTGGTAGTGTGTCCAAGCCAGGTAGACTAGCATTCAGACTTGCCTGTGTGTGATGGGAGGTGCAGAGGGGGAAGTAGGCACAGGGAAATGGGAGTTAAGTGTTGTTAGTCATGCACGCTTCTGTCAGAGGGACAATGGATGGAAACAAACAAACACATGCTGAAGAACATGCATCAACCCGCAACCCACCAACCACTCACCCACACACACAAACACATACACAGTCCCAGTCCCAGGCACAGTCACGCAGACATTCATCACACACAATCAAACACACACGCACACACCTCGCTGACAGAAGGGCCGTCGTGGGGCATGAGCAGCAGCAGGGCGTCAGGAGCACTGTCCACCACGTGCTGCCACTGCACTGCCTGCGCACTGCCCCCTGCCTCCTGCGCCACCACACTGCTGCCCCCTGCCAGTACCACCATGTCCCCCACCCACAGCCCTGGCACCATCACCGCCTGCTGCTGCTGCTGCTGCTGCTGCTGCTGCTGCTGTTGCGGCACCTGCTGTTGCGACTGACTCTGCTGCTGCTGCTGCTCAGGCTCTGCAGCATGCTCCGTGAGAGGCTCTGGGTCCGATGCCCCAGGGTGGGATGAGGGCAGCAGCAGCACTGCCACGCGCACAGCGGGCTGCCCTGCCACTGCTGCCACCACCGCCCGAATGCGCGCTCGTAGCGCCGACACAGAGGTGCTTGGCGAGCAAGCAGACGCAGCAGAGGAAGCTGAGGTGGCGGTGACGGTAGAGGCAGCAGATGCAGCAGAGGTGGTGGTGAGGGTGGGAAGAGCGTCCAGCATATCAAGAACGTCTGCGAGCTGAGAGGAGGAGAGCACGGGATGAAAGATCAGGAGCAGGCAAGGGATGGATACAAAGGGAGGGGCGAGGTGAGCTACATGAGGATAACGACTCAATGCATGAATGGTGCCTGGGGGAGGAGGACTGGGAAAGCAGAGCACCAAATGAGGAGGACGCGGGGGAGCAGGAGAACGGTTGTCTGCGTGGGGTGGGGGTGTGTGGCATTGCTTACCGATCGCGGCTGCAGAACAGCCACATTGGATGAAGCAGAGAGAGAAGCCGATGCAGCAGATTCCACTGCAGGCTCAGGATGAACCTTTCCTCCCCGTGCACTGCCCCCCTTTGAGACATCTCTACCCCGCAATATCAACACCCCCTCTGCATCCTGCCTGCACACGTGAGCGCGTGCGGCATGCTCCTGCGCTCCTCCCCTGCACGGTGGCACGGCACACACCACGGCCTCTTCACGCTTGTCCACACCACTCTCCTCCTCTGCTACCAGGCACCTTGCTGCGATGCCCCCATGCCGCTCCTGCTGCTGCTGCTGCGGGCGATGGTGGAGGGACGAGGCGTCAATTGAAGTCGATGACACAAGTGGTAGAGGCAGAGGGAGAAGCAGTGAGCGTGGGTGATAGAGCAAGGTGGTGAGAGGGGACGTGGAGAGGAGAGGGGAGAGAGCGGGGGAGTGCGAGAGGGCGGCCAGGCTGAGCACCTGAAATGGCACAACCAAACAGCGTGAAAGGGGAGAGGGGGGGGAGGGGTGATGGTGGTGATGGTCAGGGTTCTGCTCATAATTAGCGAAGCAAGTGGTAGAACAAAGAGGGCCATCATAAAAAAAGATGAACTGCGATGCGAGCGAGGCGCACGTGAGGAGCGCAAGGCGGAGTGAAGTGAGTGCTCAAGGTGCAAACGAGGTGAAGTGAAGCACACAGGGGGAGAGCATACGAGGTGGCAGAGCGGTGCTGTTGACGCAGACGAGGCAGCAGCAGCGAGGATGTGCGAGGAGAGTGCAGCACACACAGCCATGCCGTGTGCCACCGCCCCCTGCTCACTGCTCTCCCACTGTGCTGCCTCCTGGCGTGCCTTGTGCTTGCAGTTGGAGTTCATGGCGCGCGGCAGCAGCGGGTACACGGCACCTGATGGGATTGGGTGATGCAGGGATTGCCGTGAGCCATGGGAGGAGAGAAGGGAAGGTGGAGAGTAGGGAACCAGGAGGTTAGAACAGGACATTGGGAAAGAAGGAGACTGGGAACAAAGGGGATCAGGAAAGAATGAGAGCTGAAAAGGAGGATTCAGGTGCTTCTGAACGTATAAAAGACGGCACTGCTCACCTGCATCTGTGATTAGTTCGCCTATGCGTGGCGCCAGGCACAGCAGCAGGGCAGGCGGTGCAGCAGGGAGAGCCGAGGGCGCAACTGCGTATGAAGCTTTAGCAGCTACGTGCTTCACATGCACGCTCCACACCGCACCACCACCACGCGTCTTCTCCCCATCCCGCCCATCATCCCCACCCTTTTTACGCTCTCCAGCCCACTTTCTAACCCCACCAACCGCCGTTCTATGCCCCTCGCCCCTCTGCTCCCCCTCCATCCCTCCCTCCCGCACCTCCTCCCCCAACCGCCCACCCTCTGCCACGACCCCACCTCCTCCCTCCGCCTTGCTGCCACTCGCGAGGCCAGGAACGACAGGCAAGTGCCGCACCCGCAGCAGGGGCTGCTGGGGGGACGCTCGTGTGCCCATGGCGCTCACTCGCGGCCCTCCCGCCCCTTCCCTGAGCTCCATATTCACTGCCGTGACAGGGGCCGTGTCCAGTGAGCCAGTAGACATTAAATCGCCTTCCGCACTGGCAGTGCTGCCTGGGCTACGGCTGCGGGGCGAGCAGCGAGAGGGTGACGTTAGAGCACCTTCCAAACCATCACCCGCTGCAGTCCCGCTAGATTTCTCTCTCCGCCTCCCCATCCCCGCCCACTGCTCCCCCTCGTTCTCCCCGCTGCTGCTGCTGCTTCCGCCCGTCTCCCCCTCGAGTTCCCCTGCGTGCCCCTCACTCGCTGCCTCTGCGCCGCTGCTCTCGTCCCCACTCCCCCCGCCACTCACGCTGCCAATGCTGCTGCTGCTGCTGCTGCTGCCGCTCGCCACTCGGAGAATCGCCATGTCTGTCTCCTCCCCCCCTCCGCGCGTATCCTCCCCCGCCTCCTCTTCCCCCACTACCGCGACTCCCCTCCCCCCATACACCTCCCCCCGTCTCCCCCGCGCGGCCCCCCCAACCCCTTCCAGTGACGCGCGCCTCCACATCCTCCCCTTCTTTTCCGCCAATGTGTCCCCCTCTCCCCACAAGTTCCCCCCGCCCCGCGCATCCTTCTCCCCCATTCCCCCCACTTGCGTGCGCGCCCGCCTTGGAATGTCCCCCATCCCTTCGCAGCTCCGCCTGCCCCTCCCCTCATTCCCGCGCTGCCCCCACGCGCCCTCCGCCGCCCCGCCCTCCGCCACGAGCGGAAGGGGAGGCGGGCGCGCAGGCCAGAGCTCGGAGCGGGTGCGGCGCATGGGGGCGAGGGCGGAGGAGGGCGAGGGGATGGAGAGCAAGGGGCGGTGCGAGGCGGCGGCGGCGTCCGCCTCCTCGCTCTCGCGGATCGTCATGCTCCGCGTGCCGCGCTCCGCCCACCGCATTCCCCCTCCGCCTCGCCCTCCGCCTCCGCTGCAGTAATAGCCACGGCCTGCATCATCCGCATTAGAAGGCGAGTCGCAGCTGGATCGCCGCGCGTCCCTGAAGCCGCTGCCGTCCCTGCCGTCCTCTCCGCCTCGCGCCCACCCCGCGTACCCGCGCAGGTCGCTCCGCGCGCGCAGCATGCGGCTCGACGGGACCGGCCCCTCCAGCCCCATCACGCGGAGCTGCTCCGCGCGCATGCTCTTGATCCGCTCCGCCGCGCTCTCCATTGCAACCGCCTTCTCCGCCGCCGCCGCCGCCGCTGCCGCCGCTACTGCTACGGCCTCGTCGCCCTTGCCGGTACCGCTCATCCCTCCGCCACTCCCCTTCCGCTCGTGCTTCGCCCCTGCGGGCACCTCACACACGCCACTGGCGCAACTGCCGCTGCTGCTCGTGCTCGTGGTGCTGGTGACGGGAAACCCACCGCTCCCGTTCCCGCTTCCGCTCTCGCACGCGCTGCTGCAACTGCCGCTTCCGCTCACTACCGCGCCTCTCTGCCCTGCCCGCCCCTCATCCCCCCCCTCGCCCATTCTCTCCCCGATTCCGTAAACCTGCCCCCACGCGCGCCATCCGCTCCGCCGGTCCCTTTCCGCCGCGCCCCCGTACTCCCCCGGCATGGCTCCCCAGGCCATATCTCCGCTCTGCTCCGCGCGCACCTCCCGCCATCCGCTCCCCACGCCCCGCATTCCCCCTTCCCCCACCGCAAAGGTCTCCGACCGTCTCAGCCACCCGCGCTGCTCCGCCATCCGCGCCCCCCAGCCCTCCGCCGCGCCCATGCCTTCTCCGCCGTCCGCCGAGCCGGCCCATTCCCCCTGGCCTAGATCCCTGCACTCCCGCTGTCTGGCGCACGGAGCGGCGTAGCGCGGGGAGGCGCGCGGAGAGGCGAGGGAAATGTCCCAGCACCCGGGACACGCGGAGGAGCAGGCGGATGCGGAGTGCGGGAAACCGCGCGCGGACGGCGGCGGAAAAGGCGGAAGCTGCGATGGCTGCGCATTGCTGGGCGGAAAAGCGGGAGCGGGACCGCCGGCGCGACCCGGAGTGGCGCACTCCGCAAGCAGCAGAGAGCTCTCGCTGCGCCGACGGCGGGACCAGGGGGAGGGGGAGGCGCAGGGGGAGGGGGAAAAGACCGAGGAGCAGGAGCGGCGGGGGGAAGAGAGCGCGTCCGGCGTGCACGGCTCGTCTAATACTCTGTCCACCGCTGCCGCCGCCGCCGCACCCGCCGCTGCTGCCGCCTCCGCGCCGGATGCCACGACAGCCGCCGCAGAAGCCGCCGCAACTGACGCTGCCTTGCTGGAAAACATACTGAGATTCACAAAGAAGAGGAGAGAAATACGAGGAAAAATAAGAAAAACAAGAAAAATAAGAATCCACAGAGAGGAAAAGACGGGAGGATGCCAGGCGAGAAGGTGGTACATAAACGAAGCAGTGCGGGGAACGAGAAAGGTGGTGGACGGGCGGGATGAGAGCGAGAGTGAGAGGCAGAGCGAGAGGCGGAGGAGGAAGCGGAGAGGGAGGCAGAGCGGGCGGCCTTACAGCGCGTGCTGAATGACGGCAGGCGCGGCGCAGGGGTTCGACGCGAAGCACAGGTGCACCTGCGACGCCACCGCGCCGCCCACCACCACGCCCTCCCGCCGCACCGCGCCTGAACCGTCCGCCGCTGCCCCCGCCGCGCCCGCGAGCGGGTCCTTGGCGTCGCTGGGGGGAAAGGGCGCAGGCTGCGCGCGGCGCACGGTGGAGGGGGACGCGAGCTCCGTGGGGAAGCTGTAGGGTTGCGCGGGAAGAGGGGGTCGGGGGAAACGGGGGGATGGGAAAAGGGCGAAGCCCAGTGAGGCGGGAACGAGGCACAGGCTGCGGCGGAAGAGAGGCGCATGCGGATACGGCGAGCCGAAAGGCGCAACGCCCGTATGCGCGCTGCTACCCGTGCGCTGACCCAGTCCATCACAATTTCAGCCACACAAGTGTGACCGTCCCACCCTTGCGCCCATACGTGCTCATCCGCGCGCTCACCCTTGCGCCCACCCTTGCGCCCACTCGTGCGCCCGCCCCTGCGCCCACCCGTGCCCCCGCTCAAGTCATTAAGTGTGCGTTCCGCCGTGCCTCTGTGAACGCACCCATAAAGATCGGGGCGCTGAAACGGCGGGGGCGCGGGCGGCGGCGCGGGGTGGTTGAGCAGCGGGGTGAATTCCGCCACCGCGACGAGGCACCCGCGGATGGGCGCAAGAGAAGGGTCGAAGAGCGGCGAGCCCAGGGACGGGCGCACCTGGCGGGGGGGAGCGGCGGGGAAAAGGCCGTGGATCAGCGGGACAAGACGGCGCAGCGGAAGGATGGCGGTAAGGAAGCGGATGATAAGAGAGGTACAGGGGGGATTGAAGGGGGGAGGTGTCACGAAGGTGGAAGGTAGGATAGAGCGCAACAGCGCTAAGGGATGACGGCACAAGGGGAGGATGGCGCAAGGGAACGGCGCACTCACCAGGCAGTACGAAGGGGGGGGTGGCGCGTGCAGCTCGCGCGCGGTGAAGGGCAGCAGCGCGCACATAGGATACTCTGCGCCGTCCGTGCCCTGCAGCGGAGGGGAAAAGGGGAAGAGGGGGGGGGGGGGGGTCGGGGGGGACGAAGGAGGGGGGGTCGCCGCCGGCGGAGAAGGGCGGGATCGGGGGGGGGTAGACGGGAGAGATGCGCGAGTTAATAGTGGGAATGCGCAACGGGAGCGCGGAAAACATAAAGTGGATTGGCGTGAACGGATGTTGCGGAGGGAAGAGTGCGGAGCGGAAGACGCGGAGGCGAGGCGCGCGCGGACCTGCAGCGAGTGCGCGAGGAACACGGTGCCCGCGGACTCCGCCAGAACCAAGCCGCCCGCCGCGGCGAACGCGCGCAGGCCGAAGCGGAGCGGGCGGTTGGCGGAGAGGCGAGACGCGAAGGGCGCGAGGCGGCCTCCCGGCAGGTAGACGGCGTTCAGGCGCGGCGGAAGGGGGTCGACGAGCGGCGAGAAGAACACAAGCTCCGCTCCCGCCTCTGACCGGGGGGGGAGGAAGCGGTGAGGGGAAGAAACGGTGACGAGTGAGCGAGAGGAGATGAAAAGAGGCAAAGGAGGAACTGTAACCGTCACAACTCGTGCTAGCGCAGGCCGCCATTCCGCCCATACCCCAACAATCCCCCGACAGCCTTTCTTCCCCTACCCCCTCCACCCCCACCCTTCCCCCTTTATTCCGCCACCGTCGCCCCGCTTGTCCGCTCACCCTGCAGCAGCAGCAGGTTCTCTTGATACACGAGGCAGAACGCCGCGTCGCGCGCCACCCCCATGCGCACCACCTTGCGCCGCCCGCCCGGGCCCCCCCCGGGGGACGAGAGCGGAAACGACGGCGCAGGCAGCAGGATGGAGGCGCAGGCGGAGAGGAGGCGCGGAATGTGCACGTGATGCGACACAGCGTCCGCTAGCGCGGAGAATAGATGGGGGGACGGGCCGGGGGAGACTGGCGGGGAGGATGCGGAGGAGAGGGAGTCGGGGAGCGCGGGGGAGGAGAGGAGAGAGGAAGGGGGGGAGTGGGTGGGGGAGGAGGGGGAGGAGAGGATGGCGGAGAGCGAGAGGTGCGGGAGGAAGGGCAGCGCGCCGATGAGCGGCAGGCGCACGTCGGCGGCGGAGAGCGCGTCCCACATCCACTGCGCGTGCGCCTCGCTCTCCACCTGCGCGCGCGCAGATACAAGCCACGGGAAAGAACAGCAGCGGGTGAGGTACCAGTAAGGGGAACGACACGGGGAAGATGACAGGGAAGGGTCAAAAGTGAGGGGATCAGAACAAGGAGCGACAACAGCCAATCATTGCACGGAACTGCGCATGGCAAACATGACTCACACCTGTGAGACAGGACACCATCCCTGATACCCAAATTACCATCTCAACACTATCCTTGGCCCATCCCCCTTGAAAACGGCTATCCGTCCAATCAAAGAGCACTCTAATGCGCGCACCATATTGAGCAGCATCCCCGCGAACGTGAGCGACGGGTCGAAGGACGTGAATCCGTGGATGAGCGCGGCGGCGGAACGCACGGCAGACCGGCCGTCGAGGAGCAGCAGCACGGGGAGCCCCCCCAGCAGCTTCGCCATCTCCGCCGCGCTGCCCGTGCCGTCCGCCCTTCCGCCGTCCCACCCGTCGAACACTCCGCCCGCCGCCTCCACCACCGCTACATCCGCGCCGGCCGCGCGCCGGTTGAACAAGGCGCGAGTTAGGTCCCTGCGACAAATAGATGCATGCACGCGGAGGACACGCAACGCAAAAGTGCCGGAAATAGGTGAGATGGATGAAGCGGACGCGGAAGTCGAAGCGGCAGGGGAAGCGGCAACAAGTGCAACCATGGCGCCCAGCTACTTTCTGTCCGGATCTGGATCCCGCCCTTCGGCCTTGCTCCTTCCAACAAGTAGCTGAAAGCTGCTACTCCACCAATCTTGGGCCGTTCTGTGCCGATCTTGGTATGGTTTTCGGCAAATAAGTAAGAGAGAGGAGATTTACGCCATTGACTAAGAATCTGCCCCCGGGGTCCCTAAAAGAGCCGGCCCATAGCGTACCCTGGGGCCATCCATGCGTCGAGATTGATGGGCTCTCGACCGCACGCCGCCACGTAGGGCGCCGCGTCCAGTGGCTCTGCGCATGCAGCAGACAACACACGCAGACAGCACGTGGAGAGTGGTTTCGAGTCGCCGCAAAGGCACGGCACGCGGCCATACGCTGACATGTAGATGCAGACAAGCGCGCGAAAGAACGGACGACGGGTGGAACGATACAGATATGGGATAGAACTGGAGGCTAGGTTTACGAAGATGCGTAGAGAGGGGGGTTACCTGGGCCGAGTCGCAGAGGCTGCACCGTGAGGCCTCGACGCCGCAACGCCGCCAATAGGCCCAGGGTGAACCAGGTGCATCCCACGCCGCCATGCGTGCCGGCTACCACTAGCGCCCTCATGCCTCGCGCCTACCACCGGCCCCCTCTCAACCCTCAACCTACGGAAGTAACTAGATACCAACTGAGTTGAATCTTTATAAGAGCCTCTATATATCAATTGGTCTTGATCTTTAAAGCGCTTTAGGATCAGCTAGAGACTTGTATATAGTCACGTAAGCTTAAGTGCTGCTCAACACATCCAGAAATGGTTAGAAGACGCGGGAAGGAGCGGCAGATCGCATCAGAGGAGAACCGCGGAGACGTAGGAGATGCCACCCCTACCGGACGGCATAAAGGTGCTAATAACGAGTTTAACAACGAACACCGACACGGGTGTTTCGAGCGAATTCGCGTGCTCGAAACGCTAGTAGCACCCAGATAAAAACAACTGGGGAAGCTAATTACCTCCCTAAGCATAGATTAGACGTTCTATGTCCCCTTCTCCGCTACACCTTAGGCAGTCCAGCCTGGGTCCATGCATTCATATGTATTGCTATGAATCCTAACCTTGCCCTGAAGCACAGGCGAGTTGGTTTCTCACAGTTTCATGTTGGGAGAATGTCCGATGCGCGGGGCATGGTGGTGTGGTGTCTCCATTGGCCGCACAAGGGATGCACGGCGATGAAATGGCAGCCGTCGAAACGTGCGACATGTGGAGGAGGAACCATGCACTTGGCCCCCTGCGGTCGAGAGGGGCGCAGCCAGACTGGGAGGGGCAGAAAGAAATTCTGGCCAGAGCACAACTGAAATGTGCAAACTGGTCCGGTGAATGGCTGCCCGGGCAGACAAGCCCAGTGAGGCGTATCTTTACGGGCACTACCAGCGAACCCCCGAATATTGTGGCTTGTTTCTATCGCTATCCCAGAGGGGACAGCCCGCTAGTCCAATCACGGGTTCTCCATCTCCGCACAGAAAGGCCTCGAGATCGGGGCTGTTTGGGGACTCGTGTACAGACCACCCTTCAGGGCTGATGCCATGCCACCCTTCGAAAGGCACAAAGCTTGTGACGATCACGCTAACTGTACTCCATGGGTGTGTATTCAGAACCTGTTACTGTATGTTTCAAAGTGCCCGCTGAATGAAGTTCAAATCACTGTTGCCTCCCCCTGTCCCCAATGCTCCCTGGAGTGTCTCGCACTGCATCCGAAACAGGGCTGTCGATTGGTTTTAGGCCAACACTTGAGTGGCTGAGGTCTCCTGTTTCCAGCCCTGAAATCTCCGGGAAGAGGCTTTTTCCAGCCCTTAAGCGTCCGGGAAAGGCCCCAACTTAACACTTGAAATCAGGGCAACACTTATGCGTTCAGGGAAAGAATTTACCTGGACATTCACAAATGTACACTGCTCTATACAAAATTTGCTCAAAATGGCTACCACCTTGAATCAAAGGTTAAGTGGCAAGCTTACGGCTCTAACAAGGGGTGTGGGACAGGGGAGAGATAAGAGGAACGGGGGTGGAGAGAGGGGGGAGCTCCGGGAAAGTCCCCAAACTTGTACGGCGAATCAGGGCTAGTCCCAGAATGCGACCTGTAAGTATCAGGGGAAGGCCCTGACGACGCCCTTTAAGAATCCGGGCTGTACTGAAAAACAACCCTTAAAATTCGGAACCTGGACCGATGTCAACCCTTAATGTTCAGGGCATTAAGGGCAAATGCCCTTGAATCGACAGCCCTGATCCGAAACCTCGTTGCACGCTTCAATTGCGGCGCACACCTCCAGGAGAGCGGATCGTGTGGATAAGGCACTTACGGCGTCGGAGTAAAATTCCTTTCATTTGCCGCCATTCCAAGGTCATGAAATGGTGCTGAACCGCAGAACTGGATAAGAGACTGACTGGGAAGAGAAGTCGCAATTCTTTCAACAGTGTAGAATTTCTGTGAATCCATGCCCGGCAAAATCATCCAAGCAATATTGCGCCAAAACCATGCTTCCGAGATCTTCTGGAAATGATTGCGGGAGCAAAAACGGCTTCCCAGATTCTTGCTCCCTGTCTGTTGGAGAGGGATGTATCCCCTGCTTCACGGAAGGCCATTCATCAAGCATGCACCTCGTCATCAAACAAGGCAAACGTCATCCGCTTCCAAACGTGAGTGACGCCTCAGGACAACTGTCCCCCGTAAAACATTCACCTTCTCCAATCAACATATCCCCTAACCGGTTGAGATAGGAAAGTCTTATATTGTATTATGGTGGGGTGTACAGTAGGGCTCAACTGCCATTTCATACTCCTCCAACACTATCCATGGATACAGGCCCCACGTTATCAGGGCAAAACATCCTGATTACCCTGAATTCAGGATGAAGTTTTGAATTTACCCTGTCATTTCAGAATAGTGTAAATTTTTACCCTGACGTCTTAGGATGTTGTTATATGAAATGCCCTGAACATTCAGAATGGCTGTAGTGTTCTTCCCTGTAGCGTCAGGATGAAATCCGAGGCCTGCCCTGACGCGTTTTTTGTTTGGGGCGGGGGGAGGTCCCATAATTCTCTCCGTAGATCATGTTTTAGAGCACTCATTCATCCATCGAACCTACCCCCGTGCAGGCGAGTATACACTTCTGCTTTAACTCTGTCAACAATCCAATCTGAACCCTGAACACTTGGTTTTTTGCCCTGGCAGGTCAAGATTGATTTCTGAAAAAGCCCTGAATATACAGGATGGCTTCGAAAATTTGCCCCGACAAATCAGGGCATTTTTTACGATTCTGGAAAGGTGCCCTGAGGCCTCAGGGTGCCCCAAATCCTAGCACGGGCCCTGCATGGATATACCTCACGCACTCCGCAACTACGACGTTTATATAGCAACACCAACGACTTCATTTCCGTTTCATTTGATTCCATCCCTTGCTATCGTTACCAAAGCCATTTTATTTTCATAATGTTGGGGCCACAATCACACTTTCGTTATTTATTACCAATATCAATGCTGATTTTATGCTAGGATGTTTCTCAGGACAGTCTGAAGAAATATTTTATTGCCATGCCCAGTTCATTCAGTTATTGATGCGAGCCAATCATACAAAACACCCCTAACGGATCATATGTCAGATGATGAAGAGTCTTTAACACCTTCGCTCACACTAGTCCATTAACGCATCACAACCTTTGGTGGACAGACAAGAAGAAGACTGAGCGAAACCCACAAGCCTTTTTTGAACCAATCCCCCCATCACCTTCGAAACCCAAACCCTGTATTCCTAAAATCCCCTACCACTTAGCGCCCAAATCGTGCTTCCAGTATACGGGACAGAAACCAGAGTTGGCCTTGTCATGGCTGCCGTTGCAGACGGGCCATTGGCGCCCGAAATACAAGCGCCGATGGAGACGGATCAGAGAGCCCCAGGCGTCGAGCAAGGCGGGGGAGCGTCGGAGGTGGAAGAGGTGAGGAGGGGCGACGGCGCGGATCAGACGGCGGGCGACGAAGACTTAGACGAGGCGGTGGAGGGGGAGGAGGAAGAAGAGGACGACGCGGAAGAGCAGGATGAGGAGGGTTTAGGCGACGAAGAGGAGGAGGAGGAGGATGAGGATGAGGAGGAGGAGGAGGAGGAGGAGGATGAGGAGGAGGGGACGAGGAGGCGGAAGAGGGCGGCGGGGAGGCGGAAGGCGGAGCAGGTGGCGCGCAGGGCAGCGGCGGCATGTCGAGCGCGCAGCTAGCGGCAGCGGTGGAGCCGTCGGATTACTCGTTCGACGAGGGTAACATGCTCGTCAACGACTCGCGCCTCGTTTCGCTGCCCTTCGTCGGCCCGCACCTGTGAGACCACGCGTCGCCCTCATCCGCTCGCATTCTCGCTCGCTCTGCTTCTCTCGCTCGCTCTGCTCTCCGTCGTCCCGCATCGTTCTTCCGGCTCGTTTCCACTTCCCGCGCTTCCTTCCCGCGCTTTCTCACTGCAGCGCGCGCCGGGCGATCCCTACCAGCGTTTCCACAGGGGCGCAGGGTTTCGGGTATATGCTCTCATGCGGGTGCAGGGTTTGGGAGTCGAGGTTTTACTCCGTGGAATGGACGCTTCTGAAGCTGCCAGCACGCTCTCGCTCCCTCTTCCCCCTTTCCCGTCCCCCTTCCTCGTCCCCCTATCTCTCCCCCGCGTCTCCGCGCAGCGAGCAGGCGGAGCAGCAGGTGCTGGAGATGGCGCAGCAGGCGGTGCAGGCGCTGGCGGCGCGCCTGTTCGCGCTGCCCGCCACGCCGCACAAGATGGGGCGCCTCGTGGACCTGCCGCCGCCCACCACTCCGCTGCCCCGAGAAAAGCCGGTCAGCACCCACCCCCTTCCTCCTCTCCCAACCCTCCGTTGTCCATCCCCCCCTTCCACTTCTCCCTTTCCCTCCCCGCCCCACACACCCTGCTTGCTGCAATGCAATTTACCGTCCTCTGCCCCAGAGTGAAGCTTGCAAAGGTTGTACTCGCGTCAACTTACCTCTCCGCCGTTTCCCCCTTTCTCCTGTCCTCCCTCTCCGCCCCCGTCCACCTTCTCTCCCCCGCCTCTTCCTCCCCCTTGCTCTCCCCACGCCCCCGCCCGTTTCTGCGCGCGCAGCCCCCGCGTGCCCAGGGGCTCACCAAGTGGGAGCGATTCGCGCGGGAGAAAGGTACGCGGGGACGCGGAAAGCATTGGTGGGGGGGCGCAGGGGAGGGGGAGGTGCGGGATGCGCGGACAGGGGCACACACGAGGGGCGTGGGTGGGGGACACGCATGAGGGATATCCGAGGGCGCATTGCCTTGCACTCTTTTTTCTGAATGCATGCAGCTCGTGTCACATGCATCCATCCTTCATGCTGCTTGCCTCCTCTCCCCCGCTGCCTTCTCGCCCCTCCCCTCCTTCTCCCCCCCTCTCCCTCCCCTGGACGCGCCCCGCGTGCGTGCGAGAGCAGGCATACAGAAGCGGAAGAGGAGCAAGTTTGTGTATGAGGAGGCATCGGGAGAGTGGAAGCCACGGTACGGGTACAAGCGCGCCAATGACATCAAGGACATCCCCATCCTCGAAGCCAAGGCCTCCGATGGTGCGTGCCCTGCCCTTTCATCCCGCCGCTGATTCTGCTTCTCCCTACCATCTCCCCTCCCCGCACCAGCCCGAACCCTGACCCCCCATTCCCCCCCCCCCTCCCCCCCTTCCACATTGCCCCCCATCACCCCACACTTCCCAGCCTTCCCCCTCCCCCCCCCTCCCTTCCACACTTCCTCCCACACCCTCCGCGACACACCCCCCACCCTCCCCAACCCCTTCCCGCATGTCACCGCATCGGCACTCGCTGTCCGTTGTTCCTCCTCGTGCATAACAATCCCTCTTCCTCATCCCTGTGTTGCCTCTGTCTGCGCACCTCAACCTCCCCCCCCTCCCCCTCCTTTCCCCGTGCAGTGCCAGGAGAGGACCCCTTTGCGAAGCTCAAGGTGGACAAGAAGGCGCGCGTCAAGCTCAACGAGCGCCAGCGCCTGGGCAACCTCAAGGCGTCCGCCAAGCAGCTGCGCCCAGACGCGCTCAGGTTAGTGTGCACACGCACGTGCCGGTGCATGGTGAGTGGTGAGTGGTGCATGGTGTGCAAGACAAATGCATGCACACTGAGTTCTGCTCTTCTTCCGGCCCTTTCACCACCCTGTCCACCCCACCTCTCCCTAACGCCCCATTCGTTTCACTTCCCCTCCCGACCTTCCCGTTTCCTACTTTCCTCCCTTGCCCCCTTGCCCCCCAGTCACCTGGCGGTGTCATCAGCGGCGCTACCGCTATCAGGCAGGGGCCCAGCAGCACCAAAGGCTTCCAAGGCGGCGGTGGGGGAGGTGGCGTCGCTGGCAGCGGGCAGCACGGCCAGTGGGGGCAAGTTTGACCGGCGCCTCGAGGGGGAGAAGCGCGCCAAGAAAGTCGGCAAGCACAGAAAGGTAAGGCCATGTCCCCCCACCCCCAGGGACGAGCGTGAGGGTCGTGGAGTTCTGCTGGTTGGTCCAGTGGGAGTGACATGTGCAGGGTGTGAGACCGTGAGAGTAAGACGTGCGTGTGAGAATCACAACACCCATTTACTATGAACCCGTCCGTTCACCAGTCACGGACTCACCCCGATCTCCTCGTTTCTCCTGCTCCTCCTCCACTTCGCTCCTTTCCACGCCCGTCCCTTGTTTGCCCCCCTGCAGTTCCTGCCAGTGGCGGCGCGGGGAGCGGAGGGGGAGAGGGAGGGCAAGATGATATCGTGGGTGGTGGACAGGGTGGTGAGCCGGCACGCCACAGATGTCATCGATGTCAACAAGGTCAGCTAACTCCTGCTGCCTGCTGCCTGCTGCCTGCTGCCTGCTGCCTGCTCGAGCTCTTCCACTTGTTTTCTCCATATATGCATGCCTCTAGTGAGTGGGTGTGTAGCTCTCTAGTGTACGCGGTCCAGCCTTCTTTCCCTGCCTCACTATCACTCCTCTCCTCTTTGTCAACCATACACACTCCTCTCCCCCACACTCCCTCACTTCCTCACCTGTACCCCCTCGCCCCTCCAGGCGGTGACAGCGCTGCAGGTGGGCGAGGAGAGGAAGCGGAGGGCAGCCAAGTGGAACGCTGCAGCTGCAGACAAGGGCAAGGGCAAGGGCGGCAAGGGCGGCAAGGGCAAGGGGGGAGGGGATTTCGGAGGGGCGGGCAAGGGGAAGAGGAAGGCTGGGGGCGACGACATGCGGAAAAAGAAGGCCAAGAAGTGACCTGCTTCTAGGTGCCGCTGGTGGCATGCAGCATAGGCAGCTTCTGTTTGATGGCACGACGGGTGTCCCTCCATTCCTATGATGGTGCCACCACGACAGTATTGTTTGCCCATTAGCCTTCCTGCGCACCCCCGGCCTCTCTGTCTGTGATGAAGCTTTGGCCTGGCCTGCGATTACAGTCCAGCCCCCCGTTTCTCCTGTGTATTGTTGTACCGGTATGCCATAAACGGTGGCAAAAAGAGCATGTGTATCAACCCTGTACAAGAGAACACTGTCAGTCATCGAAGCACATCCACCAAGTGCAATGCCGTGGGTTGGATTTGGCCTCCACTCCACTCCAAAGACACAATCCATCAACTCAGCTGTGCAATGGCTGATACCCAGGATTGTGCCAGCGTGCACAGCTCAATGAGTGAGTGACCCTGATTCGTGCCAGTGGAGTAGAGACCATTCATAGCTTCATTGCAAGATACTGTACTTCATGCAGCTGGCGCAGAGCTGCTAGTGTTCTTTGAGATTGTGCTGTAGCTCGTGTGCAAGTGTTGCTAGAACCAACCCAGCAGACACACAAGCACATTCCACACCCACTGACCAAGCAAGCTTGCGCTTGCGCCCAGCAGATCTGCTTATGGAACTGAAAGCCGTGTGCATTTCATGAACTATTATTTACATTAACTAGCATACCTACTTCGAAACATCAGCATTTTGATGGTGGCATGCCATCAGTTCAGCATTGTTGGCCCGTGGCCGTCTGTCCCGCAGCCCTCTGCCTCTGTCTGTGATGATGGAGCGTAGGCCTGGCCTGCGATTACAGTCCAGCCCCCCATTTCTCGTGTGTATCGTTTCGTTGTATGCCATGGAGTACCATATGAATGGTGGCGAAGACGAGCATGCAGTCTAACCCTGTGCAAGTGAACACTGTCAGCAAACCACAGCAAGAGCGAAGCCCTGGATTGGGCCATGAATAAGGCTGTGATGTGAGGTGTGCTGGGATTTGGCCTCCACTCCACTAGATTCACCTACACAATCCAGCAGCTGTGCAATGGTTGATACCCAGGAATGTGAGAGCGTGCACTGCTCCATGCCACTACAGTACACTGCGGCAAAGAAGAAAGCGAGTGACACTGATTCCTGGCGAGGGAATCGAAACCATTCATGGCAAGTCTTCATGCTACCGTAGTTCCATTCCAAGATACTGAGTTTCATGCAGCTGGCGCAGAGCAGCTAGTGATCTTTGAGAATGTATGGTACCGTAGCTTCTGTGCAAGTGTTGCTAGAACCAATCCAGCAGAGTACTGCATGTAGCTTGCGCTTGCTCCCAGCAGATCTGCTAATGGAATCGAAAGCCGTGTGCATTTCATGAAATATTATTTACATTAACTTGCATACCTACTTCGAAACATCAGTAAGGTGCTATGCTATGGCATCTCACACCCACTCTGAGATGCAACATGAAGCCTATTTCATGTGCGTGCGGTCATGTGCTGCCTTCAGAAACCACAGGCACTGCCGCTTATTTCCCTTTCATACTGCTCCCATGCGTCTCATCCTTGCACAGTTCGTCCCTTCATCCTCCACCAAACGCGCTTCTTATCAGCACATGGCTTGCTTGCATCCGCTCTCCTGCTGCTTCCCACCCGCGCTCTCCCGCGCGCCCACGTTCACCCACGCGCCGCCGCCGCCGCCGCCCAAGTGCCTGCGCACGTCGTCGCCGACGCGCGCCATGTGCTCGAGGAACGGAATCAGCGCGAGGAGCTCCTCGTCGCGCGGGTCGTCAATGAACGACGAGATCGGCACGCCGTTCGCGGGCTGCCGCGCGTACGACAGCGGCGAGTTGTCCACCAGAAGCACGTCCGCCAGATCGCGCCCGAGAATCGACAGATCCTTCACGTACCCGCCGCCACCCTCCATCTGCACGCACGACTCGCGGAACAGCCGGTGGTGAATTAGCTCGCCGGTGGGGTCTAGCAGGTCTAGTACGGGGCCCGCGTATCGCGCGAGGCTCGCGGTGAAGACGACGACTTCGAAGATGGGCGCCATGGCGGAGAGGAACCGCTCGACGCCGGGCCGCTTGAGGACGAACACGGACGCGGTGCGGCCGTCCATGGTGAGCGGCACGACAAAGTCGGCGTTGGGCGGCGCGGAGAAGGACGAGTGCACGAGCGTCTCGTCTAGATCCAACACCAGCGTCTTTCGCGCGGCCCTCCCGTTCGCCAGCTGCATGTGCGGCAGCAGTGGCGGAAGCAGAGTGCGCGTGGGTGCCGCCGGCGTCGGCGCCACGTAAGGGATGGCGAGCGTAGGAGGCAGCACTCCGAAGCAGAAGAGACGCGAGTTGTACGAGCTGCTTCGCGTGTGATGCGCCGCCGCGCGAAGAGTGGTCCGATCGCCGTCTTCAGAGCTCGCAGAATGGTGACTGTCGCTGGACGATGGCGCAACCAGCAGCGGTGTGGAGTTACTAGTTGGAGGAGTAGTCGTTTGGTAGTAGTAGTACGGACGTATGAGATTGCAGAGCTTATCCCACACACGGTTTCTCCCCGCGTTGTTCGCCGCGACGCTCGCCGTGGCGCTCGTGTTGAGTCCAGTTGCATGATGGTCAGATCCCACGACGATACTGCTGATGGGGTTGTCCGCCGAAGGGCCACCGATAGTTAAGGGAGCAGCCTGAGTCGCAGCTTCGGCGGAGAGATGAGTGTGCGACGGAGCAACTCGGTCCGTATCCTCCAGCAAAAACGATTCCTGTCCGGCCGTTGGGTGAGCAGAGAAGTCCTCCTCGCGCTCCGAGGAAGATCCTTCAGGAGCGCTGGACGTCACCAGCGTTGTCGAAAGTGGTCCCGCCGTCGTCTCGTTGTCCTCTGATCTCTCCGCGCGTAGCAGATCTTCACCGTTGTTGCTGGATCGTGAAACGGAATCCTCCTCCTCAATAGCTTGTGGGTAGATCAGCGCGAGCGACGAGCGATGGTGCGTGCTGCCTCTGGAGCTGCGCTTGATGCTTTGAAAAATGACTCCTTTAGTAGACGACGGTTTCGTCCTTCCGAGTCGCGTGCCTTGATTCGCGTCGTCAAGAAGCGTCGTGGTGCAGCTGTTGGTCCTTCGGATCTTCACTTCCCTGGACGCAGTCGTCGACGCTGGGAACTCCATATCAGTCATGCTGCTCCTCGCACTGCTGCTGCTGCTACTGCCTCCGCTGCTCCCAGACATGGTTCGTAGAATGCTATTTCTGACGCTGTCGACGGTGCTACTGGATGTGCTACCATCGCTGCTTCTGGAATCCATGGAAGGATCCAGGCAAGAGCCTGGTGGCCATGGCTTGTCGTTCAGCGACCATACTGCAGTAGTAGCCATGGTAGATGCTTTACGGTTAGCAAAAGCAGCAGAAAGGGAGCGAGAATAATGAAACTATCTGCTGAATGGAATGAAGATATGAGACTGAGCTCAGTTGAACTATTATCCGAAAGAGCAAGCGCGGTGAGCTCAGGACTTCCCGACCGACTCCGCTGACAGTGAATGTGACATAGAGAATGGCGGCTGCAAGCAGAGCCAGGGAGGGACGGACGCAGGAAGGCGGTGGTGGAATCCCGATGAAGCCTGATTTGGGAATGCCGAGCCGAGACGCCGCCCCAGTCGAGCCGCGAATGCCCCCTCATGTCATCGAATGGTGGCCGCAAACACCCGCTGCGCGCAGGTCTCCAGGTACTTCTCCCGCCCACGACAGCAGACGGATGTGTCCGCCGAAATCAGAGTGGATTTCAGCCGTGATAGTGGTGTTGCTAGTCGTGTACTAGACACAGGCAATTTCCTTCCACTTAATCAAATATTGATTTAGTTCAACTTGCAAGCATTTGTAGAAAGCAAATGAATCCCTATAGGCCTAGAGAAAAACATTCAACAATCTGAATTTTATTGCATATTCGAACGCTTCATGTTCAAATACACATATTAAAGCATTTTCGGCTTGGTTCTTGCGTAAAGAAAAGTTTGGCGCCTATAATTTCGTCTACCGTCATGCCCCGGATATACCCCCATATGGGGGTGTAATAAAACTTGGAAAAATGGTGGGTGGGCTTATAATGTGGTAAATTGTATAACCCCATGGGGGAATTAAATGACTTTTAAAGAATTATGATTTTGATACATAGAAATGTAGATCTCAGCCTTGCCGTTTCAATCGAGTCTACCAAAATAGTGCTTGCGACGAAATTTACCGAAAATGTGCCACCCTGGCAAGAATCCCTCCAATCACCTGCTGAAATGCTGCAAACACGCGCTCGTCTGTGGCAATTTCGCCAGGGGGGGCAGGGAAGATCTCGCCAGGCACGTCAGCGACGATTGCTCCTGACGCGTTAGTGGCGAACTCATTAGAAAAAACACAGATTTGAGCAAAAATTCATTAGGTGCGCTTATGCGAAGATGACACAATTTTAGGGTGGGCTTATAATCGGCCCCTGCCTATAAGCGCACCAGTACGATTATAAGCCCATGGGTTTATCTGAGGCCTGGGTATATATCCGGGGCATGACGGTATTTTTGCAACAAATCCTTAGAAAACCAATGAACCCCTATAGGCGTAG